CCTTGTACGGAATATTAAATTATATACGCATTCTTTCCTGCATTTTATTTAATCTTATCTCCTCGAATTTCATTAGCGGTATACTTCTCATTCAATTAATTCAGTTCTCACTTGGGAGCAAGGCAAAATACATAAAATCTCAAAATATCTTCATTAAAAATTGAAAAATATTAAAAAACAACATAAAAAACCAAATACAGTTACAACAATTTGAAAACAATTTTTACAATTAAAATTACAGTTTATACGCAAAAACAACCAATTCGACCAGCGTACAAGGAAGCAGATTTTTCTGTGCACTAAACTAAACTTCGGTGAAAGTGCAGAAAGACTTAACTCACTATTCTGCTAAGTTTCAAATGTAAACAAATATGGCTGCTATGGTTAAAAAAATTAGGCTTAGGCGCACTTAAAAACTTTTGTTGATAGTTCTACAACTATTGCATGCAGATTAACTAAAAGCATAAAAACCTCAACCAGAAGATAAGAATAACATAATTTAGTCATTTTCAAAGCAAAAAACACACAATTTACCAAAATATATTAATAAAAAAACTGAGCTCACTGAGCCGATTAACAGAGATGGTATATAAAGATATATATATACTTTTCGTGCAGCTCATTGCAACCAACATAGAAAGTACACAGCTACATGTTATCACAGTGCTATGTACAAAATTTCAATGTTGTGAGGCTACTCGTTTTTGAGTTATACTTTATATATACATACGTACGTACGTACGTACACCACGAAAAAATCTCTTCTGAATCCATATTAAATCAGTTTTATAATTCATTTGGGGAAAAAGAGTCCTTTATTCTGTCCTTATGTACAGATGTCACGAAAAATGTCTTTAAATTGCAACGACCCAGAATTTTTCATGACTCCTAACTTCCTTTAATTCGTACAAGAAAGTAAAATTACCCTTATTAATAGCAATGGAATTTAACTAATATAATATAAATGTAACCAAAAGCATGTAAATGGGAACTTTCGCAATATTTTAACTAGCAAACTTAAAGTACTTTTATAAAACTGTTCATAACATTTCTGGAAACTATTTGAGTAAAATTTGAGCATTTAGTCTGACAGGAATGGTCTCATGCAAATTTTTTCCGAAAAAATGTTTTCTTTTTTGGGGGCGGTAAAGAAAAGAGAGGCGTGTTTTTAGATCGCCCTCAAAATCGATAGAGGTGTTGAAAATCTACGTCAAATTGAAGTTATTTCTTCGCATAATTTCTTATCCTTGATTAAAATCGAAACCAAACTGTTTGCGACGTTTCTCTGTCACTTAGCAAGTTTTATAATCTGTTTTTAAATTTATCTCGCGACTTTACTTCAGGTTAAAAAATATATTCCATAATATTTTGAATATATTAACCGAATTGTTGATAAGAATAAGCAATGTATTTCCCACGTTTACGTATTCAAACAAGCTAAACTTCGGCAATTCAGTTACAATCCGATCATATTAATCGGAGTCTACTTATTTAAAAATACCACTTTTAAAATATAGCCGTCTAACCGAATTCTTTATTTAGTTCATTTATTAACTTATTTCATTATTCTATGATGAGCTTTTCAGGCTATTCATTCGCATAATAGGTTTTAATTACTTTTTATGTCAAGCGTATTCATAAAGTCCGAACGTGGGTTTTATATTTGCTACAGCTAGCCACATAGGCATATACTATAAATTACATATATACTTTGGAAAAGGAAAATATTCAAGTTATGTCACTTTGAAAATTAAATCATCTATGCTTTTAAAAATTACATAATCGAACTTTTTTACGTGCTTCTCCAGTCCATCCACCTAGTAAAAAACTTACTCTCACTTTTTAAAATACTATCGTAAGACAAAAGTTATCACAGATATTTAATCGGAAAATTTGAGATCAAGTTTCCTGAAAAATCAAGGATTATATGCAAAATAAAAAGCGAGATATTTGTATGTAACATAATACAGGGTGGTCATTAAAAACATTCTTCGATATATGAAATTTTAGCGGCTTATCCGCTCAACAAGCATATGCTGTTATTTGAAACAGCATATGCTTATTGAGCTGTTATTTGAATGAGCTGTTTCATATGCTGTTATTTGAAAGAATGCGCCTGAAATTGGAATGATTTTTAAGAGCTCTGACGATTACAGTTAGAGTGAAAACATTTCGATATATTCGAATAGCAACCCTACCCACTTTTTTGCGAGCCAATTGATCAGCACATTGGAAAACAATAAATGGCTTTAGAACGATACTCGTAAGATGAAATTTGCCGTCGTAAAATTTTTGCAAAAAAAAGGCAATTTTTTTTCCAATAGCAGACACTTGCCCGTAACGGCATTGCCACTTCTAAGACCAAAAATGGTGGCTATTTTAATTGTGAAGCCACCTAACAGGTAGTCACCGTTACCTCCTATGAAGATACAGACAGTTTTACATCCATACCTTCTCCGGGATTCGAACCCGGTTCCTTCGGTATCGAAGTCAGGCTCCCCTAACCACTATACTGTCTGAGCGGCAAGAAGTGAATTGTAAAGGACCAATGACAGCAGAAGACAGCGAAGAAAAAGCTTTTAATGGAATTACAGGACAATGCATTGCATGCGAGGAATTGTTACTGACAATGACGAAAGTACATCGCAGCAAAAATCTATAACGTCACATTTTATGACGTTTTTCAATTCTGACAAATCTCGTGGATTTGATGTGCATACCTTAGATTTCAGTTAATCCCAGAACTAGAAATCCATCGGAGTGCGGTCGGAGGATCGAAGTGGCCGCAAAACTACAAAGTTAAGAGAGATGACTCTATCTTGAAACGTTGTACGTGTTTAAAACATATAAACCTGATAAAAGCTGTTTTCTCTTTCTTCTCTTGTGCTGTCATTGTTTCTTTACACTGATCTTCTTTGCAAATGTTTTGCGCCGGCAGTTTTCTTCCTCCGTGTATCGTTCCAACGCGTTTTATGGTTTTCATAGTTTTTCATAGAAACATAATACTTGCTGATAAATTTTCTTAGTAAAAATTGGATGTTACGAACATTTTCGCTGCAACCGTAACTGTAAGAGCTTTATAATTTTAAATCTGGAACGCATACCTTCAAATAATGATTCTGACATTTCATTTCGATTGAGCAATAGGGGTTCATATGTCGGAGAAGTTTTTTTTTTTTTTTTTTTATATCCAACCTGTATTTGTAACTAAAAATAACAATGTAAAAATAACAACCGTAACTGTGAGAGCTTTATGGTTTTAAATCTGGAACGCATACCTTCAAATACTGATTCTGACATTTCATTTCGATTGAGCACTAGGGGTTCATATGTCGGAGAAGTTTGTTTTTTTTATATCCAACCTGTATTTGTAACTAAAAATAACAATGTAAGCAACTAAAATTGAAAAAATTCAAGAAAAAGATTGTGATATTTACAGGTCAAGTGGTGAGAGCTGATGTTCAGAATGTCGTACAAAGCTTTGATCAATATAGATATATACAGGGTGCGGCAGGGGAACTTCTTTATTTGAAACGCGCATCATCTAGCGACATTTATTCCGATAAGGGTGGGTTGGCGCTCATTGTGAAAAGAGCGGTATCTAAAGTTTTTTGTGATGTAGGTTTGTAGTCATTAGCTTAATTGGAAGCAGAAAGATGAAAAATATGCAACCGCCTTCGCCGGGAATCGAACCAGGGACCTCTGGAATACCGGCCCAGCATGCAGAGCCACTACACCACGAAGACACGCTAAGGAAGTGGGAGAAATACCTTTTGTAGAGTCATTAGGTTAATTGGAAGCAGAAAAGATAAAAAATATGCAACCGCCTTCGCCGAGAATCGAACCACGGTCCTCTGGAATACCGGCCCAGCGTGCAGAGCCACTACCCCACGAAGGCACGCTAGGGAAGTGGGAGAAAAACCTTATAGGTTTAGTACCGATCATGCAGTAGACGAGACAGGAGCGCGTTCGCCGTGGAGTCGTACTTTTCAACGTACTGCATTTTCGTCCATATAAATTAGAAGTGGTGCAAAAACTTAATCCATGCGATTTTCTTTCACGAAAAAATGCTTGCGAAGCCGTTCTTGACAATAATGATGATGCCCTCATGATGCCCTTTTGTTCTTTAGCGATGAGGCTCATTTTCATCTTTCCGGTTGCAAAACAAAACATGTGCGATACTGGAGCGGCACGAATGCCTGAGAACTTCATGAGCAGCCCCTTCATACGAAACGTGTCACTATTTGTTGTGCATTGTCCAGAATAGGCATCATTGGACCATGTTTTTTTTTTTTTTTTTTTTTTTTTTGAAAAGCATTTTCCTGGACACCTTATCTCCTTACGGATCGATCTTCAGTGGCCAGCGCGCTCGCCTGATTTAGCCCCGTATGATTTCTTTTTGTGGGGCTATCTGAAATCTCTATCGTCCAAAGACTCTGGACGCAATAACACTTGTCGTAATGACAACCTCCTAAGATGAATACTTCTGAAAGTGACCAGTCCTTAGACCTTTGCCCCTGCGCAGTTGTCTTAGAGACGATTTATAATTTATTTTTTATACCTTCGGCAAAAACCACGGCATGCCACAGAACCCCTTTGAAGTATACACCAAAATGAAAATTTTATGCACGACATTTTGAATTGAGTAGAATTCTCACATTCATCAAAGAATGAGGAAAAAATACATGGAACAAAGTTTTTAATCGCTACAGGAGATTAGCAAATAGATTTCCCGAGAATCACTTGCTGATATGTAGCTCATTTAGTAAGGGAAGGCTCATTAGTGGCTGTGCAGTCCCTTACAGGGTATGACTCCTGTTGGAGTACCAGAGTTGCGTTGCTTACTTGTATTGTAAAATTTTTGAAAAGCTAAAAGCAAACTCTTATTTTAAACGCCTTAACTACGCATAGCAATTAAGTTATTTATAATCTTCTTATTCATTGAAAGAAACCGAAATGAAGAGTTTGTATACATATATATTTTTTTTCTTTTTAAACAGTACTTTGTAATCCACCTTGCGAAAACGGAGGTCGATGTTCTGTTAATAACCAGTGTTCGTGCCCTTCAACTCATAGAGGAAACAGATGTCAATATCGTAAGTAAAATCTTTAACAATAATTTTAGAACCCATAAAACTTTACTTATTTCATTAATAATTAGTATGTTAATTTAAATGCAGTAAAGTGCAATGAAATGTACATGTAATTTCTGTCTTGAATTAGATTATTGTTTAAAAGCTACAAGGAAACTCAGTTTGATATGAACGGCTGAATAACACTGTAGTGAAAACATAGTGAGTACCAGTGGCACGATGTTTTCATTACTGTTGCCAAATCTAAGTGGTATGCAGTATTTAACAGGGCTGTGGAGTCGGTATTGAAAATGACAGACTCCTGGAATTTTAAGAGCTCCGACTCTGACTTCGACTTCCTCGTATATATCAATATATATGTAAACATATACACATGGGTTACAGCTTATGTTTTTAATATAAAAAAGTAAAGATGCTACAGGAAAAAATTGATGGTATAGCAAATTATTTATAGTAATTAGCATTTGTTATAAAATGGAAAACTGGCATTAGTTATTTCTAAGAAATAGTATAGCTTCGGCCCGATCTTCTTTGTTGGAGGGCCATAGATCCGATTTGATAAACTTCAGAGCTGAGAACTTTCCACACTAACTTGAGTAGGAGAAAGAGCTCTTACTGTTAGAGTTACTTCTTTTAATTTTTCAGGATAGATTTTTATAAGTTCTAAAAAAGGTGTCCTGCAAGTGCAATCATATTTCTTTATTTCCTCAAAGGCCGTGTAGAAATCTTGTTTGTATTTTTTCATTTTTTATTTCTAAAGACTCTTGGTTCTTTATTTTCATTCGCTTTCTTTGCCTTAGCCTTTTCAGTATTATCCAAATATTTCCCAAAATCTGATTCATAACTGGAAGAGGATAATAAAGATTTATTTGCAATCTCTGCAGTTTGATTATATTGTTCTGAGAATAATTTCATTCTTAATGAAAGTTCATAGGTGGCTTTGCTTGCCTTTTTAATGTATTCGTCATCCAAGAAAATTAGGGGTTTAGATCTATATATTTAACTCAGCAATATCTCATTGTCTAGCAAACTAGTTTCTCTTTTCTTCATTGAAGAAATGATTCCTTCTGCAATAAACCATCCATTTCAAAAAGAACAAACATCCCAATCTTCCATTTTCGCCTCCTGTCAATTCTTCAGACTTCAGCTTTTTTGTGGCTATATACGGTGTAGAAAGAAGAGTTTACAATTCTGCAAGAACATTCCACAGTCTTTCTGTTAGTGAAACATTAGGGTTATCTACATTTTCTAAAAAGTTCTTAATTCTAAAATCCTTCATCCTATCATCAAATATGTACTTCCTTATCGCGTTGCTTGATCAATAATTGCTCCTTTTCCTGCTCGCTTCCTAAGAATGGCATCGATTTCGGGAGTTCTTGCTGCTATTGCTGCTTACCTAAATTTACCAGTTAGATTTGCAACTAAATGAATCAATTTAATCACTAATGGCAAATGTCATATCCATACTCCTCCCTTATATTTATTTATTAATATGTGAATAAAATGGAAAATAACTATTTATTGATGTATATAGTTCATAAATAATATTAATAACTCAGCTTGTCATTAATGATTTTTCAATTCATTTTAATTTCATTTCAAATCTAAACTGTCCAACGAAAACTGGAGTCGCAGTCGACCTTTTTTTAGCGACACCAACTCCGACTACTTTTACCCCAAAATCTGCCCGATTCCGATTCCGACTCAATGACTTCTACTCCACAGCCCTGGTATTTAATCAATTTTCAATGCCTTACTTTATAAATGCCATTTTTTAGGTATTCTATATAATATTAGTATAGTAAAATCGACATTTTTATGCTTTTTCTCAATTTCGTTAGAATAATGTATACTAATGAATATATTTCTTGTAAATGCTATCAAAATTGTTAGTTTTTGAAAGTCCTTTTTAAATTATACATTAATTGTTATCTGAATGTGGAATCACGTTTCTGAAGGTTCCCTCTTCACGTCTCTATAAATTATACATGACAGCATTTTTCGAACTTTTCTCAAGTGGGGAACACTTTTATAAATTATAATGTTTACCTTACTCTAGTTCCCTTGAAATGTAATTTTTTAGCATATGTTAATACCAGCATAGATACTTTTTAAAATACAACAATGGCGGTGGTTATAAGGAATTTAAACTTAAAATATTTTAAATAAGTATTTTAAGTAGTTTAAAACACAATTAATTAAAAATCCATTAAATTTTATATTGATACGAACCAATTAAGTTAACAGAAGAAAAGGCATAATAAAGCATAATAATAAAAGGCATTAATAAATAAAGGACATCAGAGCTTGGAAAACCATTATATTATTAGCTAAAAATTAAAAAAATGTTGGTACTAATAATTAATGACATGGCTGACGAATTTTGCATTGCTGTTCTGTGTTTGGATACATGCTGGGAAGCTTAAGTGTGAGATTGAAACATACACTGAACAACTCATAACTTAGACCTCATAATTAATGATGCTGCAAGTGATTCTTCGATGTATTACAAATTTTATACTTATTATATAGCAAAAATTTAAACCAATGGGAATTTTTTAAAATTTTACAACCTAATCAGGAATGTGTTCTAAAAGTTAAGCCCGGCTACTCTGTCAAGAAAGAATTACCTCTCTAAATGCAGCAAAATTATGTTATGGTGACATCCCGAAAGTGTTAACTGAAATCCACCTTGAAAGTAATAAAACAGATGAAACAAATGCAACCAGTTTTGATAAAAGGGAATATAGCAAGTATTGAATCTATTGTTATCTGTATAGGTATGCATAAATGTTTATTAATATTGTTTCTATGTGGTTTTGTTCTTAATAAATTTTGTGTATTATCAAAGCAATGATGAATTGCTTAAATCTCAATTATTTGACCAATAATATGATATATATATATATATATATATACGTACTTATTTTAAGTTTTGCCTAAGGGTCCAAAATTCCGTTAGCTACGCCACCGATTATGAACCGCACTTCGAGAAAAGCTGATGTATAGGTTAAGAGTTCCAAAGGAACTGCTATCTAGATTAAAATTTTATTATTAAGCTGATTCATTCGCAGATAAGCAATAAGAACTTTCAAAGTTCAAGTTAGATGTGTAAATATATCAAGAGAGACTATATGCTATGGAAACAATTTCAGAACTCTGAAACTGCAGTAAAATTGGTAAACGTAATGTATAAAGTCGCAAGCGAATGAAATGCTTCTGGAGATCGATATCTGTCAATAACTATCCATCGTAACAGGAAGTCAGCAATTGCAGCCGTCACTAACAGAAGACTTAATGAAAAAATCTTTTATGCCAGAAAGGCAGAAGTGTGGGTTTCACTGTCATCACAACAAAAGAGGAATCGCTTTAATTGACGCATACAACAACAAAACTAGAATACCAGTGATCCTATGTTTTCATTACGGATGAATGGAGGTTTACATATTATTCTAAACGTATTTTCATCTGGAGGAGGATAAGAAAGCGAAATCTTCCTTGAATTAGTATGGAACGTGACCGCTTTGGTAGTAGAAGTGTGACAGTAAGGGGGAAGTAATGATCGATGGACATACGCTCTTGCAAATTTTGAATAGAACATTTATGTCCAGTCAGAAATATCAGCGTTATAGAACCTTATGTAATACTTCTTAGAGGTGCATGTGGGTCTAACGTTTTATTTATGGACGAAAATGCTCGTCCACATTGATCAAAATTTAGTAAAGAAATATTTTAAAATTTTAGACATTGAGTAAATAGCGAGGCCAGCAACATTTTCTGATCTTAATCTGATAGAGAGCTTATGAATTAAAATATCTTAGAATCTTAGAATAGCATTTGCAAGGAAACATCCTTTTCCTTGAGATATAATGCTCTCGAAGAGCGCTTTGCTGAAGAAAGAGTACTTAATTTCAGAAAATTTCGTTAACAATGCTATTGCCAGCATGAACACACATTGAGAATGTGTATACTAGTCAGGAAAGGTCACAGTCCAAATTAAATTCATAAGCCTAAATATTTTTCTGACTTATTGTTTTTTCTTTTCTAAACAGTATATTGCTATTTCTATTGTTTCATGCTGCAGTTTTATATCAGATTCAGTGTTTTTAAACTTTTGTTTTTGTATTTATCTTATATTATTCTCTATTTGTTGAGATGTTACATATCATTCCACATTAATTCAAATGCACAATTTCTGAGAAATACAGACTTTTATGCATGCAAAGTTAATTTTGTACATGAGTGTAATTGAATCCTTGATAGAAAGAGTAATATGAGTTTTTCAGTGTTCGCTCCCATGATTTTCTACACACTCAAAGAAGTAAAAACTATTTTAAGAACTTCATCAGCTATTAATTTGTCAATAGAGCTCTACAAGAATAAAATTAATTTTTGTCCAGAAATTTGATGTTTTTACCCTGCGTAGAAGTAATTGGAGTTCATTCGAACTTTTATGTTAATCAATCAATTTATATGGAAATAAGATGTTTCATTCACAAATGCATTGCAGAAAGCTGTTTTGTATTTAAAGTAGATATTATAATGTCTATTCAAATGAAATTTTATTAGTTGTGTGCTTATTACTGCACTTGTATTTAGCACGTTGTTATGCTGGGGTATATTTTTATGTTAGGTTTCTGGTCTGTCTCCATGGTGACCAACTTTTGTTTATGAAACTGGTGATCTTCAAGAACTTCGCTGTGAAATGTTACTGTTGATTGATATCTTACGTCTGGAGTTTTCCCTTTTTTCATCTTTATGTCATATTCAAGCAGAAAGCGGAGAAACTGCGGGAGAAGAAGAAATTAAAGCTCATTTATATTTCAGAGAGAAATCATTTGAAACTTAGGCTGAATTGTATTTGAAGTTAGAGCAATTTCTTATGATGTCAATATGCCATATTTCTTATATCCCATATATGAAATTCTTAACTTCCATCACCTTTAATTATTTTTATTTCTGAAGGTATATGTTGGTAATAATTTACATTTTACTAGAAATAATGATCAAACGGAATTACTGTAATATGATGAAAAACTAAATTTTAAAGAAGGCAAGAGTAGCGGTTGGCAGATAGAAAAGAAGATGCTGGTTTAAAAGTAGACTGAATAGGGTACGAATTCAGAAGCATTTAGTTCTAATTATACAGACAAAATAGTAAACGTGGAATGTAAACCAATGCAAATTTCCATAGCTTAAATATGTAAATACTATATAACTGTCTTTAAAATAATATCTGAATTTATTTGCGCTTACAACATATTACATGTAACGTATCAGAGGAATTTTATAGATAATCGTTTCAGTCTTTTTTACCATCGTAATGTATTACGCTTATTCGCAGTGAGTCAAAACATTTAGTTTAAAATAACACGTCCACCAACAGAGCTAATAGCGTGATCCTTTACAGTTAAAAAAGGGAATTATCAAATTTTCTAAACTTTATTGAATTATAAATATTGAAGTTAGGCTCAACAAAAACTAATAGATTTTGACTAAACTAGAAGGCTTCAGAAAAACCTAATTTACAAATAGGAAGAGATTTGACGTAAATATTAGCAAACAAAATAGAAACACTTGTCGAAGTAGTTGAAAGATTATAATTCGAAATGTGAGATTTGGGAATTTTTATTTCCGGAGACAATTTTCTTTTGTTGATAAGAAATTTCACAGTACTTTAATTTGATCAATGGGATTAAACTATGCCATCAAGTAATGCTGTAAATGTTTGAGATCTACTGTAAAAAAATTAATAATTATCTAAGATTATGATTATCCCCATTCCTGATTAACTAAAGCATGATCTAAATCCATATTATACGAAGTTGTGCTTAATCTACGGCGAACTTTGGAATGAATATTGTTCTGTAAATTCATAAAAGTTTTGAAGTAAATAACATGCAGAATGCATAAGAAAACTAAGCAGCACTCATTCCAACGAATTAGTTTCATATTAACCTGCAAAAAGGCACTATACTTGCAGAGATTTCAACGTAGAGGCAGAAAAAAAATTAAAGCGATAAAACGAAAAATCACACACGCACACCAAAAAGAAGGGCTTTGAAGATATATTTTAGGGTATTTGAGAATAAACATGTACTACCTCCGTATTGAATGACCTAAAAAGATAAAGGCGAGAAGAATGGTTTTGAATACATAACCTTCTACTTTTATAAAATAGCATTTTGATACTATATGTCGATTTATTTTCATTCTTTTTATAGAGCTATGGATAACAAACGAAATTTAAGACCTGAAGACAGAAATCTGTAGGAGCAACTAAGAAATAATGAAAGGCCTAAGTATAATATTGTAGCGACTACGGTAGAAAACAATGTGTCGGCCAGAACTGTTTCTAAGAGCCAACCTCCGAAAAGCCAATAACATAACACATTGGATTTAGCATTCGTACAAGTCTTACAGTATCATGCTGAGATTCCAACATATACCATCTTATTCAAGATGTTTATATTTCATTCAACAATCTAAAAATCGAAATACTGAATCATGCTTTTTTAGGCTTTGCAGCAGGTCTTGGAAGGCATTATGCAGGTTGGTGGGAAAATAATGACAAGCTACTACCCATAAAAAAGCAGTGCTTCGTTATCAAAACGCGTGTCCAGTGTGCGTTACCTATGCGCAGAAAATCCATTTAATGCGGCCCAGAGAAAAAATGACAACATTTTGATACGGAGGGAGTAAATTACAAAATGGCTTGCAGGCCTTTTATAGTTTTAACTTTAATGTGAAGTAAACAGAACATGCTAATATTTTATGCCAATGTATATTTTTAGTCTTAAAAATTTTTTAGACATCCTATTTGCATAATAAACATGCACTGCAAAAGTAAATATAAACATTTTATTATTTTAAAATGACATTAACTTCATTAAGATGTGAATGACTGTTAAAAACTCGTGAAACCTAATTCACAGCTCGAAATCGCTGTGATCTTCCATTTCAACAGATTCACTTATCTGAGGTAACGTCGATCCACATTACCTCAGTTTATTAACAAAGCACATCTTAATTTTGTTTCCAGCTGTGTCTTTATGCGAGTTCAGTCGCCTGTCTAGTGATTCACTGTATTCAGACTGTAGACATAACCCGGAATATACGGAATGTAACCTGGCCTGTCCTCCTGGTATGGCATTTGATCCTCCAACGTCTTCAATATACAGGTGCACAGTAGACGGGCGCTGGAATCCGCCAACTCCTCCACAGTGTAGAAGAGGTAAATTTTCTTTTTCATTCGTAATGAAAGTACTTGTATTACTGAAAAACCTCATGTCAAAAAAGACATACCATTTTAATGTCCCAAAAGGTTTGCCGCTACTAATTCTACGCGAGCAAATTAAAAAAATAATAATTAAAGTATATATCCTATTTGTAATCAAATTCTATCTTAATATTTGAAAGCTGATGTAAATTTGTCTCCTTGCAATGCAAAACGAAACTCGGTCAAAATATTTATTTTTATTATAGAAATACTTACTAATACTTGCTTACGATAATTAATTTAAAAGTTCCGAAAATATTACAAATGCATTCGTGTGTTATTATTATTGACATTATATGATGCCTGTGAAAGTTAGATGAGGATTAAGAGAGAAATTAATGTTTCGAAAGCAAGTAACTTTCCATCCTGACATAATTCTAGCGTTTTCGGTATCTGTATTCTTTACTTAAGTACCACTTGTATAGTGCTTGCCGTCCCTGGCAATTGAATCTTTTGAGAATAAACGAACTTAAGTGGTCTAATGTTGGCGAAGTTTTTTAACTTTCCTAAAATATTCACATTGAATATTGTTATAACTGAACAATTTGCCCTCTGTTAACCCTGGGATTTTGGCCACACAGGGTTTTTAGCAGTGAGAATGATTACAGAGTTTTCCCGTTCCTTCCATGAAGAAATTTCCTCTGCGAATTCTTTTTGCTGATAGCGAGGTGTTAAAGCTGAAATGTGTCAGCTGATATTTCACTAACTCATGGACAACATCTTCGCTGACTTCCATTCTAACACTCTTGGAGACATTTAGGCTAAAGAGGTTTTCCATCCGTAGTTCATTGTCCTCACAGACACTTCTCTCCATATTTCTCAACGATTCTTAGGAAATGAAGGATGTTTTAGCGATCTCTCCATAACTCCTTCAAGATCAGTTCTGTTTAGTTTCTAACTTCAAAATATGTCTTGAACATAGCACTGGTTCCAAATTTTTGAAGTTCGAGATCCATAGACTAGATAAGATAAATGGTGTAAGAAGATAAATATTTTATCTTGATGAAGCCATGCTCATCCACTAAACGTTTCTAAGCATGGAGGATTTGGAAAATAACTTTCTTAAGAAAACGTAAACTTTCACCGAGAGGGCAGATACCTCTCGCCTACTATCAAATAAATCTCCCATCACTGGGAGATCAAACGCCTTGTGTATCTATGCAGAAAACTACTTGATAACCCTTGCTTTCGTATTCGATCTCCACTGCTTTGAACGGCATTCTTCGTAATGTCTTGTCGATTGACAGAATAATACACGAAAAGAAATTTGATCTTACACACCTTTTTTCCTTACACCTTGCCTTTGAACATAGCAAGAAATTAAGGTGGTCTTTCATTGATTTTTGCTATAGTACTGATGTTTCTTTTTTGTTTGAGGTATATATTCCACTGGTATATATTCGTTTCCAAAAGAGGTCCCTTTCATCACAAATGAACACTTGATTCGAGACTTAACTCTCAGAAACTCGTTGTACTTCTACAGAAACTTTCCTGTTGCTTCTGAATTAACCTCTCTGTGCATAACCATACTGTGTATCTCAGCAAAATCCTCGAATCACATTTACTGGCTGTAACCTTCTCCTTTTGAGCACTAGTAGCAGGCATAGCTTTGGTCAAATCATCGTGGTGGACCATAGGTTTCTCACAAATTATCATATCAGAAATCGCATTACCCGCCAGCTGATTTTCATTAAGCCAAATTTTTCCATCTCTTCCATCATATTTTTTATCTCCTAGACGTCAGTACCGTACGCCGGTCGCCACATCAGCTGTTTTATAAATTCTTTATTTTTCAAAATCGTGCACACGGTTGATTTAGGCACCGCGAACAGTTTCGCGAAATCATCTATTTCACTCTTAACAATAAGACCTTTCCATGCTTCAACTGTAGCTCTAATAGCTTTCCTTTTAATCTTACGTTGATCGGTATACATTCTAAAACGAATAGACCAGAGATTCTCAACCCAACGTACAAGTACCACTGGTGGTACCTAAGAGAAAAATAGGTGGTACGCAAAGAAACAAAGTATTTTAACTATAAAATTTAAAAATTAAATAACTCAACATCCTGTTCAAGTTTTTTTTCTCTAACACTCGTAAATTTATGCGATCTGAGCTTATCTAAAAGCACATATTTTAGAAAATCAATAGCCACTCACATAATTTAGCAAAGTAAACCGCTTTTATTTTCACAAATATTTTTTTAGTCATTGACATAACAAATTTTGTCATAAATGATGTTTTTAAAAGAAATAATAAATGTTCTTTTTAATAGGAAATAAATTTTCTATGAATTTAATAGGAAATAAAGTTTAATTATCTCATTAATTCTTTTAAAGTTGATCGATATTTATGTCTACTCTTTATTTCGCAACCAATTCCGGGCTCATATTGCTCTATTTTTTATTAGAATATTTTTTACGTCGATTTCCTGTCTCCAACAGCAGGTACTTTGTCTTTTTATTTCTTTGTATTCCTTACTTTTCTACGCGATTTGAGAATTTCGTCGTTTGCTTTTGAAAACCTTGTAATATATTGTACATTTAAATATTTAGGAGAAAATAATAAAACAAAGCTAAATTTTCAAAATGGAAAAATGTATAGAATTGACTAAGCGAAAAAGTGGCAATTCAAGATGATTTATCCAGGAAAATCTTATAATAGTGGAAAGAAAATAAATTGTTCATAGAAAATATAATGAAATTTATTTATCATTTGCGTTTACTTAGAATGTAGAGGAAATGGACCTTTAATCTTAATATGTTGTTTGCGATGAACTGTTAGCCATTCAAAGTATCAAACCATCGTTTCTTAAATGACATCTTGAAGCTAAGCATGGCAATTTAAAGGATAAATGAGAAGACTATTTTAGGTGGAAATTATCGGAGTTCAAAAATACTGAACGAGTAATGAAAGGTTTTCTTACTTCAAGTGAAAAAGATTTGGAAGCTAGTTACCTAGTAAGACTTAAAATTGCCAGGCTCACACTCTTCGAGAAAACATTATACGAGTATTACCAACAACTAAGAATCTCGCTTTAACATCATTCAACGAAAAATTTGATCTTACACACCTTTTTGGATATAATGAGCTTTATATTATTCTGTTAGCAAATGATACAGAAAGTTGATAAATTCATGAAATGGCAAATTCCATAAAAGAGATAGATATTCAAAAAATAAAACACAGTGAGTATTTCTCATTGGAATTTGATGAAAGTACTGATATAACGAGCTTTGTTCAATTATTAGTGAACATACATTTCGAAGAAGGTAAAAAAATTGCCGAATACTATTTATTTTGTGAATATCTTCGTGATAGAGCAACTGCAAGTGAAATATTTAAAGCAATTGAAAATTTTATGTCTGAGAATGACATTCCTTAGAATAGGTGCATTGCCGTAGGCAGTGACAGAGCTCGGGCTTCAACAGGGAAACATTCCGGTGTGATTTCTCAAATAAATAAAATCGCACCTGAAACTAAATTTACTCACTGCTCCATTCATCGTGAAGCTTTAGCAGTCGAAACAATCCCCGAAAACCTGAAAATCGTTTTGAATCAAGCTGTGAAAATTGTTAATTTTATTAAAAGCCGAGCTTTAAATTCATGAATATTTACGATTTTATGCCCATAGATGGGCAGTGAACATGAAACGCTTTTGTTACATTCTGAAATAAGATATCCAAAGCAAAATTTTAAATCGTCTTTTTGAACTTCAGTCAGAAATTCAAATTTTTCTTTGTGATTCAAATTTGAATTGCAAAAATGTTAATTTAGTGAAATATGCTTCGCGCGTTTAGCATATTTAGTTGATATTCTTGCAAAATTAAATTAATTAAATTTAGTATTACAAGGACAAAGGGGCAATTCCTTTACCATTCGAGATGAAATAATTGTAATGACAAAAAAAATCGAGTTAATAATCTAAGAATTGGGTACTACAATTTACACTTTTTGCCACTTATAGAACGTTTTCCAACCGAAAATAATTTGAAGATAAAAGAAGAATTAGAAACCGGCATTAAAAATTATTGTTTTGCTTTGATAAATAATTTCAGCATGTATTTTCCAGAGGATTATGAAAAAGAAAATTGGATTAGAAATCCATTTTATACAAATGTACCTGAAAGAAAAAGAACAATTGATATAAATTTCCTGTGATCGAAATCTAACTGAAGATTTAAAAAATAACACTCTAGTTAACTTTTGGCTGAACCGAAAAAAAGAATTTAAAAGCATTTCAAATAAAGCTATTAAATTTTTATTGCTTTTTTTTGCAAAACCTACTTGTGTAAACAAGGGTTTTCTTCCATGTTTTATTTGGAATATAAATACTGAACAAAATTAAAAGTGAATTCTAATTTATGGTTAAAACTAAGCAAAAAACTTCTTGGCGTGCCTTCGTGCTGTAGTGGTTCTGCACGCTGGGCCGGTATTCCAGAGGTTCGTGGTTCGATTCCCGGCGAAGGCGTTGTTAATTTTTCATTTTGCCTGCTTCCAAAAATAACCTAATCTTTCTGCAGTGGCACCCGAACTAAAAGGAGGATGGATGCTGACTCTCCACACCCAGGATTTGGCGACTGGATCCCCTAATAAAAAAACCCTGTCGCCCTTTAAAAGGGAGAGTATATAAGGTATTTATCCCTCCTTCTTGGCGTGTTTTTGTGGTGTAGTGTTTCTGCACGCTGGGCCGGTATTCCAGAGGTCCGTGGTTCGATTCCCGGCGAAGGCGATTGCTCTTTTCATTATGCCTGCTTTCAAAAAATACCTAATCTCTTTACAAATTGATCTCTCTTAAACAAGCCAAAATTTCACAATAAATTTTATAATAGAAGTATTATAACTTAAATTTTGATAGTTAAAATGATAATCAATTTTTAATCTAATATTTTTATGTGTGCATATTTAATACAGATAGCGAATAATTTTTGCATATGACATAAGATTTTTTCGGAGAAATCGAAAAATAATCATTGTAAAATGTAGTGTAGGTACTAAAGTTTTTAAATTTTTGCTTAGATGGTACGGTTAGTCAAAAGGTTAAGAACCACTGGAATAGACTAAACGGTATAGAGAATGTATTAAGCGGATTTACAGAAAACATAATGCATGAACGTCACAGAATCATAAAATTAGCAAAGGAAATCACGTATACTTTCACTACATCTTCCGACGACAAACTTAACGAACAACAAAGCATGGCGGCTTCACAGCGTGATTTTTTTTTCTTTCGTAAATATTTATTATTTTGTTTCTATTAGAGAGTATGTTTTCTTACATTTCAGCAAGAGAATTTGCTTTCTCCCTTATATTAATATGAATGTTACTATCTTAAAAAATTGCGTTCAGTTAAATATAATCTAATATGCTTTAAATTGTCTCTTGAACGCTGTAGGTTCCCCTTTGCTGTTATGCTAAAAGGAGACGACATTGTCATGTTTTCACATAATCGTTATATATAAATATGGTACATTCTTCCGATTTTATGAATTACATTTCACTTTCTCATTTATACCTGTCATTACAGATAAATTATTGTTTGCGAAATACGGTCAACGTTTTTCGTCGAATAATCACACCTGGTAAGGGTTTTGTGATACTGAGACGAAACTGTTAGATTTATTTTCACTAAAGCTCTGTATGAGTCATGTATCATATTTGTTGCTTGAGAAATAATGCATTAGATAATTATAAAAAATATTATAGAATTTTTATTTTTATTAGGTTTATGATGGGATTTCCAATATTTATTTTCCGCATATTATAGTCAAATCGTATTTAATATGATTAATAAAATCCAGTTGATCTATAATTTTTGCTTTTATGATTTCTATGTCATTCTGATGCCGTAATAGTGTCAAATCCATATGTGACTGACATTTACTAGACAGAAGATGGGGAGACTGTCTCGATTATTACGATAAGCATATCTGTTAAAAAAAAAAAAAAAGAGAAAAATCGCACCCTGAATAACCTTGACAATTATTAGCACGAATCATGGAGTAAATAGCTATGAGATTAGAATCTGATGGTTCTGAGCGTGGACAATACAGCGAACAAAGGCAATAGTTATAGATTCAAGTCCAAAAGCAATTTGTTATCAAACAGCAGCTTTCGTTACATTTTTGGAGAGAAGAAACGGAAATTTTCTCCTCGTATTTTTGCTTACATAAATATTTTCATAAGGCGATCCATTTAAATTTCTTTAGATGATTATATTTTATTGTCCATTACCAACTACGAACATACCTGAGATGGAAACTAAAAAATTATCTTATAAACCAAAAGTTTTGTTAACCACACTGATTTCCTAAATCATATATCTAAAAAGCACAATTATCGTAATAAAATTTTGATACCACACAAGTATCCTTATGATCGTATGAAGCAGCATTTACAAAACTTATGTAGATAGTGTGGTTATTTATAAAGCAGAACATTTCCAGAGCGTATTTTAAAGCAGTATACTGCATCAAATGTAGGAAAAGGTCCCATGTTTACGATGTGTTATTACCTTATAAGGTATTTCTCCCGCTTGCCTTTGCGTGCCTTCGTGGTGTAGTGTTTCTGCACACTGGGCCGGTATTCCAGAGGTCCGTGGTTCGATTCCCGGCGAAGGCGGTTGCTAATTTTTCATATCTTTGGCTTTTCCATTTAACCTAATGTGTCTACAACCTAATAGTATTTATATGTAATAGAATCCCAAATTTCTCTTTGCATTATTCCCTGGGATTTAGAATTAAAATCAATTCTAAATTTTACTGCAAAAATTTCTTACAAAATTTGTCCGATTAGTGTATTATTGCTTAACATAATTTCCATCTATTTTTCAAAAACTCTTTTAGATAATTTATGTGAAAAACCTCCAACGCCAATGAATGGACGTATTCAATGCCAAGGCAATGAGGAGATTTTGTAAGTAATTTATTCTTATCTTCTTTCATCATTTTTAGTTCTTTGTACGAAGTATTGAAAGTATTGTAATAGCGAAAAATTTCGGTATTATAATATTTCAACGAAAATATCTATTTTGACCTCTCTCCGAATCCATCTGAACGATGTTTTTGTGTGACATCTGAACGTATGGACAGAATAAAGAACTTTTTTCCAAAACGGATTTGAAAATGAATACAAAAGAGGATTTTTCGGGATGTCTGTATATACGTACTTACCTACGTACGTATATACGTACTTGCGTACGTATGTATCGCGCATAACTCAAAAACGAGCAACCTTAGAACGTTGAAATTTTCTATATGGGGCTGCTATAACATGTAGCTGTTACAAGCTGATAAACTTCAATTTTGATAGAGAGATAATCGAAATTATTCTTTCTTTCATTACCAATCGAAGCTTCGTCGTCTCCATTGGAAAGGATATTACTAATGCACGAGAGATGAATGCTAGGGTCCACTTTGGGACCCATTTTGTATGTTGCGGATTTTCCCCGAACACACATGTACAGAAATAACTTTTTAGGTTGTTACTCAGACTACACAGCTTTAGCTGTGAAGTCTGCTAACGCTAACCATGCAGTGAAAAAATTACAAGACTATGCCTGAAATCGAACGCTGGTGTACGAAATGGCGAATTTTAATCAATGCCCAAAAATCCCAATTACTCATTGTTAGAAGGAAACATACACAGACCCCACTCAAGAGAAAACTTTATGTATTCAAGGAAGAAGTACCACAAGTTTCAAACGCAAAATACGTTGTGGTTACATTTAATAACTCAATGTAGAGTGAGTAAAGTCACATTGACTTATTGTCAATGTAGCTTAATTTTAAGAGTAGCAAAGTAATTTTTAGTATTATTTTCAAGTATTTTTTTCTAGTATTATTTCTTTAAAGTATTATTTTTAAGTTTGGTTAAGAAGAAAAAATAATGTAACTTGAAATTAAGATGTAGCAATCAAATTACAACTGGTATAAGCTATAGAATTAAAATTTGCATATATTGTATTTATTCTTAAATTTCAAATCTGTTTTTAAAAATGTATGACCGACAAAATTAAGGAAAAGGATTTTCAGCCAATAAATCTATTTGCAATATTCATTTCATACATATGTAACACAAATTTTTAGTATGATGTGTATTTCTATTTTACATAACACATATATTTAAATTTTGTACAAAAACTCCAATTCGACGTTTGATTGTCACATAATTTATGTATGTCCTCATTTTTCTTTGGGGAGATCTAAATGACAATGATGATATTCCATTAGTTGACTGCTAGAGCTCCATGATAAGGCATACGTATTGGCATATGCAAATTCAGGCCATTCTCTCCCATTCGCACATAAATTAGTGAGCTATCTAACTAGGGATCTTCATTTGCTTTCGACAGTTTGCATATAAATTACGCTTTCAGCCACCCACTTAATACGTCAATGCATTGATGCTTCGATTTTACATGCTAATGTTTATCAACTAGTGGCACATAAACCACCGAATAATTCTGCAAACTACTGCTTATGTCATATTGATTTTTGACGGTGTCTAAGCATAGAAATGGTAGGATTCTCAGGCATGAATTCAATGCCGAGATAAATATCAGTATGATATGCAAACAATTTCCCTTCCACATAGTTTGATTGTTAAAAAACATCGATTACAATAGTTATAGAATCTTAAGAACAATTGAGGTGAAAAGAATGCTTGCATTGTTAAAGAATGTATTGTACAAAGTTATAAAACCTGAAAGGAATAAAACATTAACAAAATAAATATAGCCTTAACCCTTTCGGCCCCACCGGGACGTATATGTCCCGCAAATGTTTCCAAATCACCCAATGGGAAAAACAAGCGTAAAATTTATTGCCGCGAGTGTCCCACTGGTTTCCTGTGATTACATCTACCTTTAGTGTAATTTTTCTCGATAGATGACACTAGTGCCCTGTGAGCTCTTTGTTTTATCGTAACAGTTTTGACAAGCGGGAAAGTTTGGACATTCTGGCAGCCATTTTAGGCGAAGATACATGAGTGGACACACGTGCTGTTTTCGTTGTATGTGATTTTCGTCTATTTTTGCCATATCAAGCAGTTTATTTGAAGTAAGTGAATTTTCATTGTAGATTTTGAAAAAAATTATATTATGGAACATTTATGTCCCAATGGTCTGTTTTATTGGGACATTATTGTCCCAGTGGTTATTGAAATATATCTATGCCTCATTCAAGGCAAATATATCTATGCCTCATTCAAAGTGGTCATTTCTGTATTTTTAGGCATAGCAATATCATGAATCGCAGGAAGGGATTGACAAAGGAAGAAATAAGTAAATTATTGAATGAACCGGATTCAAGTGATGAATTGGACGATTCAGATATAGACAAGGAATATGTCCCTAGTTCCTCAGACAGTGATAGCTGTGAAGAATTGAGAGAAAATTCAGGAACATCAAGGGCACCGAAACGAAAGCTGTCATGTCTTGAGCATATCAGAACCCTCCTTTGACTCGGACTCTGATGATTTCTCACCGAGATGAAGCGGAGCAGGTATCAAAATATAGTGCAAGGCAAAAAAATAAAACATAAAAATAACTATTTCAAAACCTACTGATCCTGTCATTTGGTCAAATGTTGGTCCAAATTTTGAGCCACGGCTCCATGTATCTAAAGACCGTCAACTGCAATACTGGCCAAAATCAACAGATCCTCTAATGAATTAGAATGTTTCTCATGTGTATTTCCACGAAGTCTTCTTAATTTTATTCTCAATGTACCAACCAGCGCCTTGAAATACTGAGACATGAAAAAAAAGTAGATATTCCTGACACAGACCCTTCAGAAATTATGCTTGTGTTGGGAGTTATGCTTGTCATGTCGTATAATCAAGTACCGAACTTTTCAGATTATTGGTCCAGCAATTCTTCATTGGGAAACGAAGCTATCAAAAATGCGATTTCCCGTAACAGATGCCTATTGCTCTTTGCAAAAATGTACCTTCAATGATCCAGAAAAAGATGCGAATGCGCTCCAAAGACATATTATATGGTGAAGTGGTGGCATGTTTCAAAAAGACATTATGCAAGCTCGCGAAGATAGTCCTTTCAAAGCATCGATGAATCCATGGCTAAATTCAAGGGTCGTTCTAGCCTAAAGCAGTATTTACCCCTAAAGCCAATAAAACGGGGAATCAAAGTGTGGGAGAGATGTGATGCGCTACGGGCTACACCTATGACTTCAATATATATTCTGGCAAAGACATGGATAATACAGATCATGAGGGTACAATACTGGAGAAAGAGTTGTTCTAAAACTTCCTCAACAATACGTAAACCCAGATGTTACACTTACATTTGATAGATTTTTTACAAGTGTAAACTTATTGGATAACATATCCTTTCCTTCTGTTGGTACTTGTATTTCTCGTAGAAAAAAGACATGCCAAAATTCTCTGACGAAAACTTCAAAAAGGTGATTCAGAATTTCTCCAGAATAGAAGAGGAACTCTTGCCAGCAAGATGGCAAGATTCAAAGGAAGTTCTGATTCTGAGTAATTGCACGGACCTGATGTCATACAAGTAAAACGTAAGCAGAAAGATGGAGAAAAAAGTAATGACAAATTGTGTCCTACCGCTATTGCCGACTATAACAGATTTATGGGAGGAGTAGATTTGTCTGATCAAAAGATATGCCTATATGATTTTGACAGAAGATCTACAAAATGGTGGAAAAAAGTATTTATAAACTTTTGATGACAGCTGTTGTGAATGCACACATATTGTTTCAAGAAACCAAACATAGGAAAATACCTCTCTTGCAATACATTGTCCCCTAGCCGAATTAATGATTGCTCATGGCAAAGAAAATGCAATTGTCAAGAGGAAGAAATCAGGTCGACCGTCAATGCAACAAAACTGATGTTGAATGTTGGAGATCATTTGCCATTAGAAGGGCCAACAAGAAGAAGATGTGCCCGCTGTGCCAAACAAAATAAAGAAAACCCGAACAAAAATGTTTGCGCCATGTGTAAAATTGCACTATGTAAAAACTGTTTTGCAATGTACCATACATAGAAATTTCATTAATAATGTTGTGTAGGTAGGTGTTTTCTGATAAAACTGTTTCAAAAGTATTGTGAATCATTTTAGAACTAGAAAACTGAACTTTTCACTATGTTTTATATTGTCACTTCAACCCAATGGGACACATGTGTCCCAACTAAAAAAGACCAGTGGGACACATATGTCCCACCTCCAAAATGGCCCTTACAGTAAATTTTTGCTTATAATTGGGCAGAATATTGCTATTTCTACTTTATTTTACCTAATAAACCCCTAATTTATCTTTTTTTTTTTAAAGAAAAAACTGGTTGTGAAAGGGTTAATGTACTAAATCTAATCTCAAATTTAAAGCTATTTATAATAAAATCTCTAAATGTAAGCAGTTGCGGATCAGTAAAAGCCTAAAATGAGTAAAACATCTAGGTAGTAAAGGCGTAGCTAGTATACTGAGTAGTGAGAAGACTGAGCAGTAGGAAGACTAAGTAAATACTGGTATGAGAAAATTTAAAAATGCATCATGGGACAAAAGCTGAAAGCCTAAACTACCCCGTGAATGAGTAAATTACCTCCCGGCCGAAAAAAAGGAAATGCAGAAAAAACACAAGAGGTCTACGTATTTAGATTATCTTTACAAAAATATAAATGCCATATTAAAAATTAATCCCAGATCTGTTCAAATTCCTAGCATGCATAGAAAATACAATCACAGAGTCTAAGTGAAGGGTATTTTTAGCAGTTTGTTTCTGAGCTTTGGTTTGAAAATCTAATGTTCTATTTACTATATAGAGTTTAATTTAGATTTTGGATTTAATTGCAGTCAATACAATTCATTCCTCTGCTTTACTTACTTTATTTTGCTTTAGTTTTAAATCTTATTTAAATGCGCCTTTCTGTTTTCGCAAGTAAAAGCTTTCTCTGATACATAATGATTAATTATTTTAAATCCAATGCTGAAATTAATAATGCGTGGTAAGCAAACATATCTTTGACAGCTCACTATTCAAAAGTTTCTGCAGAGCATATACTGCTTATTGATTACTTCAAAGCTAATAAAGTCTACCTGCCAATGAGAGAAGGATGTCTGTATCGCCGTTATATGAGGGGATCGTTATATAAGGATATATTGTATCGCCATTGGCGGTCAGGAAAAGACGATTGTGCAGTTGCCTTTTGGAAGCGCGATGGCATAACATTATGCAATCCACCTCGAGCTGTAATGTACGTGTTTGTCATTCCTTTTAATATTGGATTTAAGTGTAAATATTTTAAAGAGTATCTGTCGAGTGCTTATTATGAAGAAAGGAATTTTACGCTTCCGTTGCAACAATTTATTATGAAAATATGCTCAATAATTTGCATACTCACAGCACAGTAATAGCTGGAAATAACTCAAGAAGAACGTGGACATTTAGAAGTTCTTCCACAGCACATGAAATATGTTGTAATGTTCTTCAAATCACTATCAGGGTAAGCCATAATTCCTAACCCAGCTAACTGCTGAAATTCGCAGCTGATTCAGATCGGAACTTCTCCTTTTTTAGTCAAGGGACCCGTATTAATACCCTGTAACCTGGAAACTTCTGGGAAAGTTGGTTTTAGGGCTTTAAAAAAGTGTTTTTACAAATCTTCCAAAACGTCGCCAAGTTGGCAACAAATTGCCAAATGTTACTTACTTGGAGAAAACAATTGTTGCAAAGTACCAGAGAAGGAGGATATAAGTAGGGGGAAAAGTTTATATTCTCACGTCCTAACTGAGCTCCTTTTACAGTTCTAATGCTGTTGCGTTCAAAACTAAAAGATCTACAATTCTATGAAATTAGTTTTAAATACAAAACATATATCCGCAAATTAAATCAAATATAAAATAAACCCTAAAGTTACAGCTCTAAAAAATAAATAATACAAATAATATAAAAAATAAGAATACAATCATCAAATTTATGAACATAATAATGGATATTTTCTAAACGAAACTCCCTAACTGCACAACTCTAAAATCCTTTCATTTAATATTTCATAGTAAGACAGAAGACACCTCACTGGCTTCGCAATTTAGATATCGTCTAAAATTTTAAAATTTAGATATATACGAAATAAGAAAGTAATTTTGTGATAATGACCAACTAATTCTAAAATATTCAAAGAAAGTGTAATATGAAAATGCTGTATTTTTTTTCAGCATGTGTGTTGGATCATGCAAGCCTGGTTTCATGTTCAGGGATGGTTTCACTGAACTGACAATTCAATGCGTCAGGAGAACTGGTGAATGGACTCCGGATGCATCTTTTCCAGATTGTGAAGGTAAACTGCAACTAAATGAATCTAAAACTTAATTTGTTCTACGGATACCTAGTATGTATTATTAAATAATATTTTTCGAGGCTGTGTGTATAAACTCTAATGCAATAATAAGAGTATTACGAGTAGACTAAAACGTTTTATCTTAATAAAGCTCAATATAAAATGCAGAAATTTGAAGGGATACTAACTAAAATCGATATTTCGTCAAAATTAACTAGGCATGGCTTGAAAATCTGCTCCTAGAAAACAGAACATTCCTACAGCACGATTTCTATTTTGCACAGACAGAGAACTAGCAAAAACCTTTCAAGTGAGGAATTCATCTAACACAATTGTGAACCAACATGGGTTCCAATCCAAAAAATCTTGATCTTGATTGCCATTTTTAGGAACTGCTTCGCTCAGTAGAAGTTGTTTAGTATTTGTCTTGGTGAGGATTAGATTTCACACTTTCGAAAGCATGGAAGAGTAAGGAATTGACCCATTTATACATTGGTTTACTCTACGGTGGGGAAATTACCTTGAGTTGGTGCTTCACATCATATAATATTGGGACAGGCGGATTGCTTTCCCGGGGGGATCATATTTTACTATGTAAAAAATCAGATATTCTAATAACACTCCTATCACAGCTTGCATGAGAAATCATGCTTGCATCTAAAATTCCCTGTAATGGCTTTTGAAGAAACACTCGCTGGAGTTCACGAAAGACCGTAAAACTCTATTATTCTGACTTCTGTCAATATATCTTCAAATGAAAGGGCTCAAACCGATAATATTAAACATCTATGTGAATCAGATATTGTCATAGTTCGTTCACACCATAAATGTAACTAAATCTCTGAGAGTACGAAACTGATATGATTTTTAAGCTATGTCATCCTAGCTAACCTGTGAGATTTGAAGATTTTGACAATATGGCTGAAGATTTTCATAATTTATTTGTTAAAGGAAAGACTAGAGAAGCAGATTAGTTAAAATGGTAACAAAATAATGTTGTCTTATTCCCTTCATATAAAACAAATGTAAATATAGGTATCGCATAAATTGCGCAAGGTTTAAAAATGCAAAAGACGAGTCAAAGCGGTATAAAAATTTAAAATTTCAGTTTTACGTCTTTTTATATGCATTCCGATTTAATGCTAGGAAACAATTTCTGACATAGTCTATCTTCCCGTTCTTGGTCGCTGAAGTTGAAAACTTTTTCTCAAACCTTATGCTTGATTTCGAGATTAGTCTTCAGCATTTCTCTTTTCAGTTCGAAAAAATTATTTGTGGTTTTTTTCACGTTATTGTTTGACTTTTCTGTTCCCATATATATTTGCAAGAGGTGAAGTCACAAGACTCCATAGTCCATTTTCGGTCACCGGCATGAAGTCAGATCTTGCACTCAGGAAATTTCCATGAAACAATGTTGTTGACTTATGGGATACGTGGCAGATAGACCCTGCTGAAACCTCTATTCGCGTCACTCATTTCACCCAGAGCAGGCTCGAAAATCACGAGAAATATCTCGATACACACATCCTATTTTTGTAATAAGTCTTCGCAGTTTCGAAAGAGCTGCTCCTTAGTGAAGCGCTCCATGGCATCTAAACTTAGAAGAAACAAATCCTCAATTAACCTGAACATTAGTAGGTATCAAAATTGAAATTCAATTACATTCGTCAAGCAAAAAATGATGCGCAATCCGAAACCCGTGCTTAAAAAACTGTAGAACTTTGAAGCTCTAAACCGGTCGCGGACACTTAGACGACGAGACACTTGACCGACACCAATTAGCCGACAGGACATTTAGCCGACATGGACACTTAGAATTAGATGAATTTTACTGATAGGTGAAAAAATTATTTCAATATTGAACTTATGGAGAAGTTCAGATTTTTTGTAATTGATAGTTTAAATAATTATTCAAAGAACATAGTACTTTGATTACGTAGTAACGTTATTCAAAGTGCGTGTCAGCAAAACGTCACTTTCGGCTTAATGTCCTGTTGACAAAATGTCTTGACAGTTAAGCGCTTCGTAGCTAAATGTCCTGACTGCTAAATCTCTGTGTCGGCTAAATATCCTGTCGGCTAAGTGTCCTTGTCGTGTAAGTGTCCTTGTCGGCTAAATGTCCTGTCGGCTAACTGTCCGTGTCGGCTAAATGTCTTGTCGGCTAAATGTCCGTGTCGGATAAATGACCTGTCGGCTAAGTGTCCGTGTCGGCTAAATATCCTGTCGGCTAAATGTCCTGTCGGCTAATTGGTGTCGGTTAACTGTCTCGTCGGCTAAGTGTCACGGACCCGTTCTAAACACTATAGAAGAATGAAGGATTTAGAGTATGAAAAGCAATTTACATCAAAGGTGACGCTCTCGTTTATTTCTGTCCAGCAGCGAAGAAGTTAGAAAAAAACCTGTGCTGCTTACCGTTTAAATGCAGTAAACCCTTGCTGAACTCGGGGGTTACGTCATTAATGTATTATGCGTATGGTAAAATCCCGTTGTGCAAAGCTAACGTTCTATGGAAAAAAAATTAGACAACATTCAGATTAAGAAAGTATATGTAATTTGAACAAAATCATCATTTTAAACGTTTTGCGGTAAAAAGGGCTCAATGCCTCTTATAAAGTGTCTTCTTCATTCATCGTTTTCTTCAATCTCTATTGAAAAATTAGGTAGTTCATATACCTCTTTTAACAATTCATTTAACTTCTTTAAAAATAAAGGCACTTTAACTTCTTCTTCATTATGATTGCTTTCACTGTTGGCTGGTATGATAAGATTATCCAGTTCTTCATTCGTAGTTTCTCGATTAGTTCTTTTACAGTTACGCCGTGACTTTCTTTTGCGTACGATTTCTTCGGCTTCATTTTGAACCAATGAAATTCTTTAAAATTGTTACCTTCTGGCCAGAAATGATGTCATCAAGCATTTAGTATTAATAAATGAAGGCTGAATTGAATGTGAGTGAAATTCTAGTGTTGGATAAATCAAATGGAAACAATTAAGATACCGTTTTCCTCAAAATCGTCTTCGGTGAGGGTTTACTGTACTAATAAATGGCAGATATTTTAATAATATATTTTTCCTTCTTATGAAATTAGATCAGTGTTTCTGTTTTCTTTCAAAAGCTATTCTCGATTTGTGCAACTGCTTAGTTGATAACATGGTTTCACATAACGCAACAGTTTTTATGAATTAAATCATCTCACTGCAGGGGAACTGCTTGTATTTGCATTATTCCGAATAAATTCCGCATCATATGTAGTCTGTGAATAGTTTTTAAATATGTCTGCATTTCAGCGGAAATTTTTTTCTCTCTGGAGGAAATCGTATATTCAATAGGCTAGTGAAATAATCGAAGGCACTAATAAGTTGCATATCATTAGAAAGATAACATTTCGAAATAAGGTTTTCCCTTTATTCAAAATAATATTCTGCATTTTTTAGAACTATTATCATACGATAATTTCCATAAGACTTTTGCTCTATGGTATTTTTAGTGATTTTTCATATTTGAATTGGTTTTTTTGTCTATAGTAATAATGTATTCCTGCGTCCTAATGACTCTGCTCGAATTCATTGTTCTCATGTACAATTATTTTGCGAAGTAATATTGCTGCATAAATACAAAAGATTTACATTCCACGAAAAAGTAATGCTTATTTAAGTTAGGTATTAGAGGAGACATACTTTTACAATCTTCAAAACTGTGTTAATATTCAAAATTGATTTACATTAGATTTTCAAGTTTTTAAAGTTATAACAAAGTAAATAAACAAACGTTTTGACAGGTTTTTTTGATAATTTTTTCTAAACGCTTTTCTTCACATTCATTAGAATTTAAAATTTAAGCACTGGAAATGAAAATATATTTTTATTCCTAAGTTAAATATACATTAAATGTTGAACTTTTAACCTATTTTATTGTATGATAAAGTTTTCAGAAATTTACTGTTTCCCATATTATTCAAGTACAATTAAAATTTATTTTTAAAACAAATTAATTTAGTGTTTTTAAACGTAATTTAATAATTTAATGTTGTGTTTAAACACCTACTTATAAACTAATATTTACTGTTAATTAAACCACTGAAATGTAATAACTTTGCCTTTTTTTTTTCTAACCATGTATTTCTCAGCAAGTTGTAGGCCGCACTGTGAAAACGGGGGGAAATGCATTGGACATAACAAATGTTTGTGCCCTAGAGACTACAGAGGAGACAGGTGTGAATACCGTAAGTAGTTTCAAATTAGTAGTCTTTGTCATTTATAAAAGATATAAGAGTAAACAATTTCGAGGAAAATTGTGGAATATAAATTGCAAGATTTCTTTATTTAATTAAATATCTTACTACTACGAAGCTAAAGTGCATTACGCACCTTTCTCATTAAAGCAAATTTCATATATATTCTTTTCTTAAAAAATTTCTGACTTTCACAAAAGGACTGTCTAAAATCATACCAGTTTCTAGTTAATATATTAATGAATTTTAGTTATTAACATATTCAAAATGATCATGAATTATTTTTAATTTGCTGGTAATATTAAACCGCTTATTATTGAAGTAAATGAAGTTTACCCAAATGTTGTAAATGTTGGTTGAAAACTTTTAAAATAAATATATTTTTTTAATTAAAAATTTTGAAAACACGAAATGTTTGTTAAAATAAGTAATGCATGTGCAACTACTTTATTTTGCTAATGTCAAGCTATTCTTCTTTTTATTAATTACATTTACTGTTCCATATAACAGTCTAAAGGTTTCAGTTTTATTGTTAATGGTGTTATAATTACAAAACTTTAAATCGGATTTCAATTGCTGTCCTAATGAGCTAGACGTATGGTAAACTGAATTCGCAAATGATGGTATAAAATTTCCCGGAAGGATCAATATTCTTAAGAAGTGAACTAATTATTGCAACAGAAAATGGAAAATATTTCACACAGTACACAGCAGTTAAGATGAATATAAAAATGCATCTATTTATGCTACCAGTAAATAGTATTTTTCAAAATGGAAGTAATCTAATCAATAAGCATTGAAGACTTTTAAATGGATGTGTCAGTATCAAACACAAAATAAAGGTTATAAATATCTAATATCTTATTGCAAGTCTACCACATGTGCAAGTATTATACTTCTGATTCAACTTGATGTCGCTTAACGCAAAAGCAATGAAATATCTTTAAAAATGTTTAGTAAGTATTCTTACAATTATACACTGTAATTCAGATCTGATACATATAAAGTACGAGTTATGTCTTTATAGAATGACGCATACGAACCCTTTAGTATATGAATTATTCCGCTTTTTCATATGAGCATAAGTTACAGTAACTATTGTCTTCGGAAACGTTTAATTATTTAAGTTGAAGTTCTTGCCATCTTTAAGTTCAAATTTTTAATATTGATACCGAAATCGCCTTAAAATTATTCATCAAGATAAAATTTCTCTTAATTTTAATTAAAGATTATTTGGTACTGTTCTCAGGAGCGTATAAGGAAATGTACATATGTATTGCATATACGGATGGATGGATGTGTTCATGTATGTATGTATATATGTAAGTTTGAATGTATATATATATATACGTATACACATTTATGCTCACGTGTATACATTCTTACGTTTCTGAATTCAGTCTCGATAACAGAATAGTATTGATTATTTTTCAATCTGCGAAAAAAATGGTAAGTTTGAAATGCAAAGTAGAGTTTTCAAACTTAGTGAATTCATACAATTTCTTTCCACAAAATAAGTATTTCTAATTATAATACATATATGTGGATAAAAAAAGGTTACAAGTATCCGCATTTGAAAAGTTATCATTGTGGAGGGAATATTTTTCTGCGAAATATTCTTATGGCAATATTTTTCTGGAATATCAGTCTGCGAAAAAATGGTAAATTTGAAATGCAAAGTAGAGTTTTTAGATTTAATGAATGCATTATTCCGATAAAATATGTATTTCTAGTTACAATACATAGATGAATGAAAAAGGAGGTTACAAGCATTTGAGAAGTTGTCATTGTGGAGCGGATATTTTATCCTTAGAATGTACACAGATGGCACTAGTTGCCTAGCTGCAGTTGTGCGGGTAGGTAGAGTATGTTCGCATATGCACAGAGCGATTGGAATGGCAAGACGTTTAGAACCACCTTCCTTGGGAGTGCGAGTCGTGTTATCCTGATCGAGTCCTGATCGGAACTTTGTCATCGGAACTTGATTATCCTGATCGGAACTTGGTCATACCATTATTGCCGATCGTTACTGTGCCACTTTACAAGGTTACGCGAAACCATCCGACGCAAACACTCTGGCGTGTTTAATGAAGATATCATCCTCCTGCATGGACAATGCCCGTCTCCGTACTACTCGCCAAACTCAAAAACTGCTGCAAAAGTTTAAGTCTAGAATCACCCCAACCCCATACAGCACAGATTTAGCATCCAGTAACTATTTTCTTTTCTTGAAACTGAAGGAACTTTAATCTGGAATGAAATTCTTTCTCGCCAGTGATGTGAAAATGACTACCGAGAACGGACTCAACGAGCAGGGGCATAATTTCTCCCAAGCCGGGTTAAACATGTTGATCCTGAGTTAAGATAAATGCCTAAATAGATTTGGTGTAAATTAACAGTAGATTTCATTGTAATAGTAGATTTGTGGTAAAATGACAGGTAAGTATGCCTCTTAATTCCCTTTTGTATTTTCTGTCTATTGTTAATAAATAATTTTGCATTACCCTTATAACTTTTTCTTTGATCCACCCTCCTAGCATTAATATTAGCATATCATTCAACAGTTAATACCAAATATCACAAGGAACTTTTATTTTAGACACCTCGAACTGCGACGGTCACGATCGCTTTGCATCAGTTGCCTGGCAGTGCAGAGATGCAGAGAAAGAAACAGTTTGCAATGTCAGTTGCAGGAGTACTCAAAAATTGCAGCCATCTCAACCAACTGTATATACATGTAGTTTAGACGGATCCTGGGAACCAGATTTGAAGCCCATATGCGTTTCAGGTAATACTCATTCATTAATCACACTGAAAATTAACAAAATGTCTTCAACCTCTCGGCCCCTTTCTCTTGATCATGTTTTTGCGTTGCGCTATACAAGCACCACATTCAAAACAGTTATTATAACTATTGCGAAACTAACCAAGCGTTCTTGAAAAAGAAAATATGGGTATGTGGAACAATTAGGGAAACACAAGTTCAACTTATAGGCTGAAAAGGATTGAGCTAAAAAAATAGAAAGCAATATTTTGGGAAAAATTAAATAAACGAGATAAAGAGCCAAAACGTACTTAAAAATATATTTATGAAAAGTATCGAACTGTGATGATCAATAATTATCTTATTAGTACGATATTGAGAAAAATGACAAATGGACAAACATATAACACGTATTTGATAAATAATGCTTTATTCAACTCATTTGTCATTTCAAAGGTAACAATAAAAATTACAAAATTATTGTAAAAAGTATGAGTACATTAAGCAATTGAAAACAGAATTCTCAAAGCCTCTGAATATGACATTCAAGATTCAGGACCTTGAAAAATTGATCTAAATACATACAAGTTACATGATCCTCCAATGATAATTTCTAGTCGCAAGCATGTAATTCACAAACTGATTTGGATTCATATTGTGTGAGGCATATTAATGTTTAATGTTTCAAACATCAATATAGCCTAAAACATTACTGTTGTGATTATGTGTACTGATAAACTGTTTTAAATATTTTTAAATAAATGTTATACTCCTTTTTTTAATTTTCTCACACCCTTTAAAAGGAAAAAAAATCGATGTACAAAAAGGTAGTAGTAATTGAAATTGAAATTCATACTTTTCGATCTGGTATGAAAATGTTTAAACTTTGGCAGCTAATGAATAAATAGGACTTCTCTTGCTACTAAATATCTGGATAGCGTATTGAAAAGGATAAATTCCAGTTCTAGGTCATAATTTGAATTCGAATTTTATTCCTTCTACTCACTTCGACTGTCCCAGTTACTTGCAAACGGATTCTCGCAAATTATGAGCATAGACTACCAGCTGAGATAATTGAAGTCGATCTAAAAATAGCACGGTGGTTAAATTAAAGGACAGCTGACATGCAAGTAGAAGCTAAGCCGCCATTGGAAAATACTGGCAAGAATCATTGAACCATGTAAAAGCCCAATGTTAAGCAGGCAGCGTCGATCTAAGGAGACATCAGAGGATTCATCTCTTTTGATTACCTATTATCAACTGTTCGACACGTAATTAGGCACCAAGGGCGTATAAAATTCTTTGATAGGCCACTCAGAGAACGAGGTTTACACTCACGATGTCCATTGTCTCAGCTATCCTTCACCTATGCACGCTGGTAAGTGTGTTTGATGTGGTGCTGGAAACCTTCGATCCAGAATTTCACTGACTTCGGAAGGATTTTATTTCAACGATTAGTCCCGATTCAAAATAAGGCACAAAGGACATCTCTTGGTGTCATTCAGAACAGAGATTAGATATTTACTACCATACGGCGCAACAAAAGTAAGTTGCAATCTAGGATGCATTGCATTTTACAGTCAGACCCATCTGGCTTTCATCCATCTTACTCTTACAGCGTGGTGCTTCGACGGTATTCTATACTGTGTCTTGTTGCTCTTACTTTCCAGGCTGTTTTTACAAGACAATGACCAGCTGCCTACGATAAATGAGTCTACTGATTGTAGTCCTATTTCTCAAACGTATGGAACACCAAATCTCTTCTCAAGAAACAGGTTTGGGGGTTTGATGGCAAGGCGCCTCAGAGCGTTCCTGGATGTAGCTAAATCACAATTGGAAAGCGTTTGTCAAAACATCCGACGACATCACAGGTCATTGCTATTATTCAATGACAAGCCGGATAACAGATTAACTTATTCGCTAAATTCCTGGAAAAAACATTCAGTTCATCTGAAATTTTAATAATTTACTCTTGTATACATATTCGTTTACGTTTGAAGCAGAAATACATTGTGTTAAATTAGCATCTCGACAATTAAACCTCAATATCAGAGTTAGCTATAAACTTGAGCTTCATAATTTGCTCCTTCAATCCGTCCTTTAACGATAACACAAAAAGTACTGAATGTCGAGCCATTCAACAGGCTACTAGATCAAGGTTCATGAATTGAGAAAAAGGACATGCCTAGTTAGTGCTATGAATTGCATACTAAATAAAATTTGCAGCTTATTTTTACTATGTGTGGAGACGAGAGTGCATGTATTTACATTAGTCATGAAAGATCAGCTTTGTGCTGAATGTAATTACCTTGCGGAAAGAAGAGATGTAGGAGTAAGAAACGGCGAAATTTATAAAATATTATGCAATATATATATATGAAGGGAAAGGGAGAGAAAGCGAACAAATTTCGGGACAGAAAAAGAAATGTGGTAGCTGAAAATCATACTAGTGAGCAATAGGGAGAGGAAATGCAGGGAAACGTGATGTTACGCAATTAATATATGTGACCCTAATGCAGTGTCTCACTGGGATAAACCTTTTTTTGATGCACAACTATTTTTATATTTTGGTTTCTGTTGTTTTTTATGTCTGAGAATGCATTTGGGATTTTAAATTTTAAGAATGTATTAAAAATGCACTTTTTGTCATAATATTGATAATGAATATTTTCAAAGTAAGAAAAATCAAAGTTTCATTTTAGGAAAACGTTACAGTTTTCAAATTACTGTAATTTTATATAATAAAACATTCATGCTCTTTTTTCTATTTGAAACATATGTTAGCGAACATATTTTTCACATCACGAAATTGTCGTTTACATAGTATCACCTAAAAATCACATGTACCTAAAAAATACCATGTATTTGTCTCTTGGAACAGAATTATGTTAAATTAATTTTCGCTATCATAAGCTTTGGTCTTGATTAAAAAGTCGATGTTCGTCTTATTGCATTTTATAACAGAACAATGTATTACATATTTTAGAAAATTAGCATTTAACTTTCATAAATTTTGAATGAACTGAAATTAGTAAAAAATATTATACATATCTGTTTAAAATGTATCATATCCCGATGGAACTGTATCGTCTTCCTCTCCCCCTGAGTCATGTTATCCATATGTTCAGAAACTCACGTCAGATACTTCGAAATCTCATAGAGAAATATTAAATATCAGGGAAAATAATATAAACTTCTGACCTTCAACATGTATCATGCAATGGCAAAGGCATCCCTCCTAAAGAGATGAAGCCAGACAATTTTAAATAAAAACAAATCATTATTTTCTAAACATAGTTGAATTTTTATTACTATTTCTATACCTAATTTTATCTATATAACAGAAATCACATCAAATTAGACTTAAAACCAAAGCAAATTAAGCTAATGCACCTGATCATAATTATTATAAAAAATGACACACAAAAAAAATCACTAGAAAATTAAATGTTGGTGTGTTGGTGTATTTAATTATGGCAAAGCACACGAGGGCTATCTGCCTAAGGGGAGGGATGCCTTTCGTGGAGGATTTTCTAAGGGAAACTGGCTCGTATACACGTTACACATGGGGAAAACCACGAAAACGCCCATGCAGCCAGCCCGTTCGCGGGATTCGAACCTCGGAGCGAACTACCAGTGTTCAGCGACTTTACCGCTCGGCCGCTGGTGGGCCAGAAAATTAAATGAATTTTATAAAAAGAAAAAAAAATCTGAAAACTTTCAAATTTTAAATTACGCCCAAAGCAGCGTTTTATTACTCACGTTTATGTAAACTGCATAGATATTTTTGGGAATTGTATGCAGTTGTTTTTTCGTGCTACTCATTCTTGCAGTATATACTTTACTTTTAGTTTGTATTCTTCACTGTTATAATACATGTATATAAATGACACATGTATATCCACGACTTTTAATGGTTGCTTTCCTGCGAAAATCTTGAGCAATCCGATGTTTCTGTTTCTTATGTTTCCCTAGTTTCGGGTTCTCGGCCTAAGTGTTAAAATGCTTTTCGGGATTTTTTTCTACTGATTTGATAATTATGCTGTTTATTTACTTAATTTTCAAGAAATCTGCTCTTCCTATCAAGGCACCGAAGTTGTTAGAAGCCCAACAGTACCTGCTATATAAGTAGCCATGTTTGATCTTCAAGTGTCCGTCAGTTCTGAGTTAGTTCACAGTGCGATTAAAAGATTTAATTTAAACGAATTTTAAACAATTTTGTGATGTGATAGGTATGTCTTAATTCTCACTGAGCAAATCAAATCTGGCATTTTTGATGCATACTGTCATTTTGGAATAAACTCTTAATTTTTCCTGCATGTAATTAATTAAAGAGACTACCACGAACTCTAGCTCGCAACAGTATTGCTACGAATTTTGTATAATGTAACATGCAATGTCTTGAAAAGATCAAAAATTCTTGAAGACAGTGAAATAACGTTACACGAGAAAGTCTATTTAACATTGCTGTAAATGGCGATACTATTCTGTTTTGAAGGCCGTAAACAATTTGCAGCGAAAATGTATGCGCAAAAGCGCCAAATCTAGCAAACGCGCCCATTTAACAGCGCGCCAAATCTAGCGCACGCGCTGATTTCAGATTGCGTAAGTTTATATAGTTCTGTATTTCTTAAGACGCCATTGAAATACTAGTTTCATTTTTAAATCCTTTTTTGATTAAAATTTTTTTGATATCTTATGGATTTAATAATTTGGGAATTACCCATGACGAAAAGTCGGCAATAGAATTTTGGGTAAAGTGCAGAATCATTCACTGCTTGACGCGTTTTTAAGAATTGCACATACTCGGAATCCATGTGCACATCGACCTATTTTCACTTAAAAAAAAAAAACCTAGAATTGCACAAAAATGGCACTGCGCACATCCTTGACTTTATCTATGTACACATCGACCTATTTTCACTTAAAAAGTAAAAGAAAATTGACAAAAATCCAATTGTTTTTACCCTTGTAAAAAGCGGCAAACAAATAAGTGAGCGATTCTGCACTTTACCGAGAATATT